GCTGCGCGATGATCTCCTTGGAGGCGTGCACCTGCTCCAGCGCCTTGCGAGCCACCTCAGTTTCACGCTTGACCCGATCCTGAGCGTCTGCAAGCTGCCGAGCCAGCCCGTCCACCTTCTGGGGCGCCGACTTCCCAACCAGGCCGAGAGCATGGGCACGGCGAGCAGCATCCACCTTACCCCGCGAGGACTGCGTGAGGGTGTGCTTTGTCGCGTCCCACGTCTCCTGCGCGAAGGTGGCCCAGACCTTGACCTCCTCCGCACTGAGAGTGGTGCCAGAGGAACTCTTGTCTCCACCAGCACTCTTGCCCTTGAAGAGCTTGCCGTTGTGCCCCCACTGGTTGCTCGGCGGCGAGTCGGCCCACTTGCCCCGAGACGGAGGCTGACGAAGCTGCCACGGCTGGTGCCAGGGCTGCCCTGCTCCGCGAGGGAAGCGAGGTCGCATGCCTCCGCACCCCGCCTTCGAGCACCGAGTGCGGTCGGCGGCGTGGTACTCTCCACAAACGCACTGCCACTGGGGTGCCATGGCCGAGACACACACAGCGTTATAAGTGCCAAAACGAGGGGAGCCGCGCGCGCCGCTGAAGGTCGAGCTCGGGAAACAGAGCTATCCCGTGTTTGCCAGGAGGCTTGCAGCCCCCCAAGCATTGGGTCTTGAGCCAAAATGGCTACGGAGGGATTGGAGCTGCAGGAGAAGGGCATTCTATAGGAACTCACGAAGAAAACGAAGGACTCGTGCCCCAGGGGAGGCCCAATCTATAGGAGCATACGTAAAACACTTCGGAGTGGGTGCGCAGGAACAGGACAATTTATAGAAACATACGTAAAACACCAAGGGTTCGTACTCCAGGGGAAGCCCAATCCATAGGAACATGCGTAAAGCACCGGGGATTGGAGCCACTCCTGTGGCCTCCTGTTCCTGGGGCCTCGTTAGGGCTCCTGGGGCCTTCCGGGGCCTTCCGGTACCTCCTGGCGCTTCCTGTGGCCTCCTATGGCCTCCTGTGGCCTCCTGGTGCTTCCTGGCGCTCCCTGGAGCCTCTTGGGGGCTCCTGTGGCCTCCTGGGGCCTCCTGGGGCCTCCCGTGGCTTCCTGTGGCCTCTGGTGGCCTCTTGGTGCCTCCTGGGACCTCCTGTGGCCTCCTGGGGCCTGCTGCGGCATCCTGAGGAGGATCCGTGCCCACGAGTCTGGCGTTGGAGACATCCTCGCAATCTGGGCCGCCAGGGGTGCGAGAACCAGCGCCTCGCTGGAGACACCCTCAAAATCTGCTACAAAAGCGGAGGGTGTTGAGGCCACAAACAGGCAAACCGCTCGAAACATCCCCGCAATTTTGGCGCGAACGGGACACTGCAATACTCCCTGGCGGCCCCCCCCTTGGGGGCGAAAACCGGTGCCTCGCTCGAGACATCCTCAAAATCTGCTACGAAAGCGGAGGATGTTGAGGCCACAAACAGGCAAACCGCTCGAGACTTCCCCGCAATTTTGGAGCGAACGGAGGAATGCAATACCCCCTGGCGTCTCCCCCTTGGGGGCGCTGAAACCCGCGCCTCGCTCGAGACATCCTCAAAACTTGCTCCGCCATCATCATCATCATCATCATCATCATCATCATCATCATCATCATCATCATCATCATCATCATCATCATCATCATCATCATCATCATTATCGTCATCGCCATTCTCATTATCATCATCATGATGATCGTGATGATGATCATGGGCATCATCATCATCATCGTCATCGTAATCATAGGCATAACCATCACCACCACAACATAACATATAATACCATACAAACAAAATATCATACCATAACACAACATACCAACACATACCATGCCATATCATAATACAACATACCACACGATGCCACGCCATACCATACCAGAGCATGCCATACTACAACATAGTGACTCTGGGTGAGGAGGAAGAGGAGGATGGAAATGAGTGGGCGGAGTGTTCCGCCTCGGCGCGGTCGAGAATAACAAGACCCCCATCCTTGGGATATGGGGAATCACAAGAACCCCATCCTTTGGATATGGGGAGCAACATAACATAACAAACCATACCACACCATAAATGAGGAGGAGGAGGAGAAGGAGGAGGAGGAGGAGGAGGAGGAGGGAGGCGTGTGCGTGTGTGTGTGTGTGATGGAGTTGGGGCGGTCGGAGTAATAACAAGAACCCCATCCTTTGGATATGGGGAATTGCCAGAACTGACAAACTGGCCCTTGGGAAAAGCTCGGGACTTCTGGGGACTCCGTATGGACAACAATCAAGACATCGCATGTCTGGGTTGACATCGTTAGGGGAATGACGGAGGAGGACGGGTGAACGGAAGAGGAGGAGGAGGAGGAGAAGGAGGAGGAGGAGGAGGAGGAGGAGAAGGAGGAGGAGGAGGAGGAGGAGGAGGAGAAGGATGAGGAGGAGGAGAAGGAGGAGGAGGAGGCGGAGGAGGAGGAGGAGGACGGAGGAGGGGGGGGGGACGAGGAGAAGGAGGCAAGGGGAGGAGGATAGGGGAGGAGGCCAGGGGAGGAGGATAGGGGAGGAGGGAAGGATACTGGGGGAGGAGGGAAAGGAAAAGGAGGAAGAGGAAAGCGAGGTTGACGGATGACGGAGGAGGGGGAGGAGGGAGGAGGAGGATGAGGAGGTGGAGGAGTAGGCAGGAATGGAAGGAGGAAGGGAGGGCGGGAGGGGAAGGGAGGGAGGGGGGAGAGGACAAGCTAGGTGCGCTCGCGTCATATCTGACGTCCTACCCCTCCCTCCCATCCCTTACCATGGCGCAGATCTCCTCCCTACACGCACAATCGGATGTCGTAGCAGGGCGTAGCATTACGGGGCATATCATGGTGGTGAAGACTAACGCGTAGCATGACATAGCATGGCGTGGCGGCGCCCCAAAATGAGAGGGGGGGGCTTTTGCGGCCCAACGAATCAAAGAATGGACACCGAAGGTGAAATCACTTCTGATGGTTTCTTCGGGAGGCCACTTTGTAATTTTGGGGCCTACTTGGAAGGACCGAAAACAATGCCGTGGCATGGCGCTGGAAATGATGACGCCAGCGCTGCAGCGGGAGCACGATTCGAAACGAGCGGAAACGAGGAATGAGGTCAGCGCTGCAGCGGGAGCACGATTCGGAACGAACGGTAGCCCGAAAATAAGGCCACCGCTTCAGCGAGAGCAATTTTTTGAAAACCACCCAAGCGAGGATGCGCGGAAATGAGGACGCGTAGCCTGACATAGCATGGCGTGGCGACGCCCCAAGGTGGGGGGGGGGGCTTCTGCGGCGCAAGCAATCAAAGAATCGGCACCGAATGTTTAATCACTTCCAATGGTTTTTTCGGGGGGCATTTTCTAGATTTGCGGGCTATTTGGGAGGATCGAAAACCATGCCGTGGCATGGCGCTGGAACTAATGACACCAACGCTGCAACGGGAGCACGATTCGGAACGAGCGAGAACGCTGAAATGAGGCCAGCGCTACAGCGGAAGCACGGTTCGGAACGAGCGGTATCCCGAAAATGAGGCCAGCGCTTCAGCGAGAGAAGCATTTCGAAAAACAACCCATGCGCGGATGCGCGGACATGAGGACGCGTAGCCTGACATAGCATGGCGTGGCGGCGCCCCAAAATGAGAGGGGGGGCTTCTGCGGCGCAACAAATCAAAGATCGACACCGAATGTGGAATCACTTCCGATGGTTTTTTCGGGAGACCATTTTTTAATTTTGGGGCCTACTTGGAAGGACCGGAAATCATGCCTTGGCATGGCACTGGAAATAATGACGCCAACGCTGCAGCGGGAACACGATTCGGAACGAACGGAAACGCGGACATGAGGCCAGCGCTGCAGCGGGAGCACGATGCGGAACGAGCGGTGTCCCGAAAATGAGGCCACCGCTTCAGCGAGAGCAGCATTTCGAAAAACAGCCCAAGCCATAACCCGTTTCTGGGAAATCCTGTGAAAAAATCAATACGCGGAGGGGGGCCGGCCATTGCCCCGACGCCGCCAGGGGAGAGAGGAGAGTAGTATTCGTATTGTTTTATTGTGGGGGAGCAGCAGGGAGTGGGATGGGGAGGGGGATAGGAGGGATTCACATCGCGACCTGCAGCGTCGTGCTGTGGGAATCCTTCTACTGAGGAGCGACGACCTCTCCCCACAGATGCCCCCCCCCCCCAACTGGACACCGGCATTTTCGGCGGGGGCCCTCAGAAAAAGCAAAACCTGAGGATCGCCGAACTCTTCGTGCCCCGACCTATTCCTGACTCCAACGCCCTGTATGTGCAGAGACGATCGGCATCCAAACGAATACGAGGACCAACTGCAACCAAGACTGAACTGCGTCGAGCCGCGAAATCACTTCGGACCGGGAACGGATCGGCGCGCCAATGCATCGGATCAAAATCGTCTCGCCGCGCCCGGCTCGGGCGGACCCCGGCCGACGCCGGTGAACCAAGGCGCATCGACTCGAGTCGGAGTCGCCGTCCCTGCCCGCGAATCGAACCGCATCTGGCTGGATTTAAGGTGGGCCTATCCCCCTACAGGCTGATCTTGGACGAAAAATTCAAAATACCCCCAAAATGCACTAAAAATGCTCAAGCATGGTAAAGAAATAGCCCCCAGACTATGTTTTGACTATCTTTGAATCTTCCCCCCGTAGAGGGACAGGCCCGACGTAAGGCTGGATGTGAGGAGCGGGGCCCCTCCTTCGCGCCAGCAGCGCCCGGGTGCACGAGGAGGGCCCGGAGGGGCAGCCACTGAGGGGCCCAAGGAACAGCGAGCCCCCGCAGAGCCCAGAGCGGCCCCGACGCCCGCGTCTTGTCTTCACCGGACGCGTACCGTCCTCACGGCCCCGGGGCAGGGGCGGCCCTTGGCCAGGGCGCCTCCTGCGGACTTCCAGGGCGCCGCCCGCGTCCTTCCTCTGCTGTCGTCTCGGGCGGTCGACTGCCGAATCGGATCGCATCTGGCTGGATCGTGGGCAGCCCTGGCAGCTCCGCGCGGCACCTTCGCAGTGAACGGCACCATCGCGGGGTTCACCTCGCTCTGCCTGAAGCCCTTGATCTTGCGGCCCAAGATCTCCTCTGCTCGGGGGCACGCCCTCCTCCTCCTCCTCCTCCTCCACCTCCTCCACCTCCTCCACCTCCTCCTCCTCCTCCTCCTCCTCCTCCTCCTCCTCCTCCTCCTCCTCCTCCCCCTCCTCGTCCTCGACCTCCTCCTCCTCCTTCTCCCCCTCCCCGTCGAGATTTTTCACTCCTCGACCTCCTCCTCCAGTTGTGCTGTTGCGAGGGGGCACTCGGGAAGGAACTGCACAATGCCAGCCGTTTTGCATAGAGCAAAGGAACTCATGCCAGTTTGCCTCGATCGCATGTAAGTCGCTCATGACGGCGAACCCGCTTGACTGCAGAAAGACGTGGGTACGTGCGTCAGCACCTTACCTTCCATGCCTTCGCAATCTTCAGACCGCTGTGTGGTATCTACGTGAACGCGCACGCGTCAATTTGAACCATGGCAGTTTCCCTCGCCGGCGACCCCGTAGTCCATGGGAAGGAGTTGTTCACTAGGGAGAGGGGTGTAGGAAGAGTGCAAATAATAGGAACAGGAAAGGGAGGAGGGGGAGGAGGAATCGGAGGGGAATGACAACGATGACGAGGGGGTGGATGAGGCGGGGTGGGGGGAGAAACGAAAGTCCCCCTGCGGATGCTGGTCGCCCAAGACTCACGCGGCCCCGCCCGAGAGACCGAGACGCAACCGCAAGGCGCCGCGAAACCGCATGAACCACGGCGGCGTGGGACACGTACGTGTCGATGTCGGAGGTCTTGAGTCTTGAAGCAGTGGTACTGTCTGAGCATGACCGCACGGCGGGTCACGCTGTGCAGCCTGGTTTTCTCCTTCATTTGCTGGTGTACAGCGCCAAGCCCGACACGCACGAAAGGATCTTCGGTAGCACTGCATGGGGCAACCCCACCAGCTGCCAGAGCAGAAGCCCTGCCGCGTCAACGGCGGCGACTCCATCGAGGGGAGGGGGAGGAGGATGAGGAGGAGGAGGAGGAGGAGGAGGAGGAGGAGGAGGAGGAGGAGGAGGAGGAGGAGGAGGAGGAGGAGGAGGACGAGGAGGAGGAGGAGGAGGAGGAGGAGGGGGAGAATGTTGCAGGCCCAAAGAGGCAGGACAAAACCGTGGCGCTCAACAAAACGCGGGCCAACGTGCCCAGGCCAACGGCCAAAGTGGCCAACGGCCAACACCAAAGGCACACGCGCAAAAAGGGGGAATCACTTACACAAGCTGGGACCTGACCTCCGGCTTCCTTTCCCTGACTAACTCCCAATATCGCCAGAAACGCTGTGCCTTAGGGAGGAAATCCCAAAAAAGAAAACAAACCAAGGACTGCCCTACTCCCCGCGCCAAAATGGCGCATGGGGGTTCGGGATCGGCGCCCAAGGGACAATACACGGAGCGTTGCCCAGCGCCCGCACCCCCACAAGCACGGCAACAGTATCCCGCGGCAAAGAGCACTGCAACCAAGAGGTTGCAGGCGGGAAGCCGCGGGCCCCCTCTCCGTGATCGTCAACAGCGGTGCAATTCCTGGGACTTCGACCATTAGAATCCTTGACCTTCTTGCAGACTTTCAAAGCGGATGTGCGCGGCGCTAAGGCGAGAACCACATTTTGAAAATGAGCCGCCCTTCATCATTAAAACATGGTGCGAACTTGTACGCCGAATGTGCGTGGCGCTAAGGCGTGAACAGCATGTTAAACATCGCCTGCCCTCCATCCGAGAACTGTTGTATCTTTCTCAGACGAAGAAGCGCGGCGCTAAAGCGGGAGCCACATGTTGAAATCGGCCCGCCCTCCATCCTTGAAGCCCTTGTATTTTTGAGACGAGTCTGCGTGGCGCTTTGGCGAGGGCCATACTTGGAACACGACCTGTCCTCCATCCGCGAAGCTGTTGCAAACGTTAGGCTTCAAGATCATCAATGATGAAGAAAACTCAAGCGAAACACCTGGCCCGCCCTACCGACACGCCTGGAGGTGCGACCGTGAGCAGTTAGAGGGAAAAGGGATGCAACAGGGATGGAATAGGAGGATGAGGAGGAGGAAGAGGAGGGGGACGAGGAAGAATTGCACGATGATCGCGCGTCGACAGAGGGGGACGTGCCCATGGCCCGCTAGCTCGTGGGCGCCGGCAGGCGCCGCCGCCGCTCGGGCTCCGGAGCCCGCAGGTGGGGACGAAGGAGGAGGAGGCGGAGGAGGATCCCCCCCGCCTCCTCTGCCTCCTCCTCCTCCGCCTCTCACTCACTCTCCGCCATGAGAGTGAGCGAGAGGCGGAGGAGGAAGAGGCAGAGGAGGAGGAGGAGGAGGAGGAGGAGGAGGAGCTGGCAAGATGCTGGTGGAGATGGCGGTGCCGCCGAAACGCATGATCCCCAATTTCTGACGATATCAGAGTGAAGAGGGCCGAACGGTCATGTTCTGTCCCTGGGCGCGCGTGGCTGGGAAACATGACTTACAATCCCGGCGCTTTTTCCCGCTTTCGGTTTCCGGGGTCCGTTATCGGGCTCCTGGACCTATCAGATATTGCTCTGGAGCGGAACAATACATCTGGGGAAGGGGTCGGGATCTACTGGGCTGCGCGTTGAACGAATCATATCGTCGGAAGTCTGGGCTGGAGGTCATGGAACTCGGAGCTCGTAGTGTACATGCTCAGCTCCTTCCGAGCTGGCATGCTCTCTTTGCCGAGGGATTCTAAGTCGTGGTTGTTCTATTGTTCGTGTGTGTGTGTGTGATGTGTGGCTTTGCGCGCATCCCGCCTTTGATTATGTCACTCGCTGACTGCAGTCATCAGCGCGTCGGAGGAAGCGTATGTTTGTGTACTCCTCTCGGAGATCGACTTGGTTCGACGCTTTGTGTCACATATCGCTTTATGTGGTCTTGCTTCAACGCTGGCTCATCTATAACTGATGTGAGTGAGCATGCCGACGATAACATCGACAACCTTCGTGAAGTATTGTTGAGCTTTGTCGATGCTTATCATTTCCTCCGCGAGATTCGTGATTGCATGGATTGTCTCGGCGATCGTTGGGGTGAAACCCTTCAGAGGCCCGGCATTCAGCGGAGAGCTGGTATGCACTCTGTTCTTGAGTACCTGCTCGCAAATACTCAATTAAATACTCGGCGCACGCTGGCTGAAAAATGTTTCCTCCTGTCGCTCGCGCTCAGAACCTTGAAATGCAACGCCTTGCGGTGTAGCTCGTCGCAAGGTACCTTCAACTCTTGCATCCTCCTCTTGCAGTCCGTCAACAGAAGTCTCCAGCCGTGAATCCACCCGGCATTGCCGATGGCTTTCTGGCAACCGCTGGGGACTGTCAATCTGAATACGGGCCGAATGTCCACCTTGTGCCTGAACACTGGTACTCCGGATATATTATCGTGGTCCGTGTCTCAAGTTCTGGGCGAACCCCCTGGTGCGAGTTAAATGACCTCGGTGCGCATTGTACACTTCACAAGCCATGACAATCCGCTGGCCAGCGACGTCTCGCTCGTCATCGTCATCGTCATCATCGTCGTCGTCGTCTTCGTCATCGTTGTCGTCATCCTCTCCTTGATGCGCGGCAGCCGGAGCAGGCAGAACCCAGTCGCCAAGGCGCCCAGGTCCAGGGACTTGAACGGGAAGACGTACCCGAGCTGGTGCTCCTGCCCCGCACGGAGGTCGCTCGCGCAAGGGTCCCTCCTGCGTCCTCCTGCCGCCTCCTCTTACCTCCTCCTGCTTCTTCCTCTTCCCCATCTTCCGTCTCCTCCTCTTCCTCCCTACCGCCCTCCCCCTCTCCGTCTTTCCCCATCCTCCCTCGTCCTCTCCCGTCTCTCCACCTCCGTCTCCCTCGCCCTCCTGCCCGGCGCAGAAAGCATGTGTGAAAGAACATGTTTCCTCCTGCCCCTCCTGCTCCTCCTCTTCCCCCCGTTCTCCACCTTCGGATCCAAATCATCGCCGTCAGTGTCGTCACTATCATCACTTTCGTCACCATCACCGCCACCACCACCACGATCACGACTCGTCGTCGGGACTTCCAACTCCATCACGAACGCTTCCAACGCCGAAGATGCTCCGAACTACAGGCCAAACGCCGTATTCCATCCCAGATTGCAACGCCAAGCGGAAGCGTCAGGCTAAAGCACTCGAGTCATGAACGAATCACGCACAACATGCTGAATCACAAAAGTAAGACACGTTGACGAACTTACAGTACGACAACTACCAAGAGTCATTACGAGCGCTGAAGAGGACAGGGGGTGGCCTGAGAGTCCCAGGAAGAAGAAAATGGGTGGTTCGGGGCCCAGGCCTGTGGCACCAGATTTCTTTCCCGTGTTTTGTTGTTGTTGTTGTGCCTGTGTAATTGTGTACAAGCAGATGTCACATTCACACTGATGCGAACCCTTGGATTGAATCCGCGGGGCCGTGTGCAGTGAAGCATGGTGATACACGCAAACGGAGACATGCGACGGCAAATGTGCAGCAAAACGCATGGGCGGCCCGCGAGCTGCCATAGTCAAATTCTCAGACAAATATGGAAGACCTTCGACTCAGAAACCCTGACAAGCATACTTCCGTCGACGATGTGTGAGACAACCACAAGGGCAAACTGACAGCGCCTTTACCTCTTGAGGTCGCGGCATCGCTGGCTTGTCAGTCCCGCCGCGGGGCCCTTCTTGGGGCTATGACGGTACCCTCTGGGTGCGCTCTCTTTTTTGATGGTTTGCGGCGCGTCCATTCGCATCGCGTGTGTGTGTGTGTGTGTATATGTGCGCGCGCGCGTGTGTGTGTGTGTGTGTGTGTGTGTGTTCGTCAGTTCTAAGGCTGATGCACCAGCCAGGCTCTATTCCAAGCCTGATGTCCTCTCGTTCGGTAGAGTTATGTCGCTGAGTCAGCTAGAATCTTGAACGGGTCTTGCGATGGACGCAATGGCTCGCGCGAGGAAACTATCCGAGTACAAGCTAGCACACTAGCATGCGCGCAGACTGCTGGCAACACAATAAGC